AATAATTTATCCATCAACTACACAGTGCACTATCTCATTAAATGACCCAGGAACAGTAGATCTACCAACTACAAAGTTCACTATAACATTAAGTAATCCAGGTATAGTAGATCTACCAACTACACAGTAAACTATCACATTAAGTAATCCAGGTATAGTAGATCTACCAACTACACAGTTCACTATCACATAGGCGATCCAGGTATAGCAGATCTACGAGGTACACAGTTCGCTATCACATTAAGTGAACCAGGTATAGTAGATCTACCAACTACACAGTTCACTATCACATTAAGTGACCCAGGTATCGTTGATCTACCAACTACACAGTTCACTATCTCGTGAAGTGATCCAGGTATAGTAGATCTACCAACTACACAGTTCACTATCCATTCACGTGACCCAGGTATAGTAGATCTATCAACTGCACAGTTCGCTATAACTTTAATTGACCAAGGTATAGTAGATCTACCAACTACACAGTTCACTATCCCTTTACGCGACCCAGCTATAGTAGATCTACCAACTACACAGTTCACTATCACATAAAGTGACCCAAGTATAGTAGATCTACCAACTACGCAGTTCGCTATCACTTTAATTGACCAAGGTATAGTAGATCTACCAACTACACAGTTCACTATCTCGTGACGTGATCCAGGTATAGTAGATCTACCAACTACACAGTTCTCTATCCATTCACGTGACCCAGGTATAGTAGATCTATCAACTACACAGTTCGCTATCACTTTAATTGACTCAGGTATAGTAGTTCTACCAACTAGATAGTTAGTTCACTATCTCATTAAATGACCCAGGTATAATACATCTACCAGCTACACAATTCACTATCACATTTAGTGACCCAGGTATAGTAGATCTACCAACTACACAGTTCGCTATCACTTTAATTGACCCAGGTATAGTAGATCTACCAACTACACAGTTCGCTATCCCTTTGCGTGACCCTAGAATAATTTATCTATCAACTACACAGTTCACTATCTCATTAAACGACCCAGGTATAGTAGATCTACCAACTAGACAGTTCACTACCTCATTAAATGACCCAGGTATAGTAGATTTACCGACTACACAGTTCGCTATCCCTTTGCATGGCCCAGGAATAATATACCTATCAACTACACAGTTCCCTATCTCATTAAATGACCCAGGTATAGTAGATCTACCAACTACAAAGTTCACTGTCGCTTTACGTGACCCAGGTATAGTAGATATACCAACTACACAGTTCACTGTTCCTTTACGTGACCCAGGTATAGTAGATATATCAACTACAAAGTTCACTATCACTTTAAGTGATCCAGGTATATTAGATCTACTAACTAGACAGTTCACTATCTCATTAAATGACCCAGGTATAGTAGATCTATCAACTACACAGTTCACTATCCCTTTACGTGACCCAGGTATAGTAGATCTACGAACTACATAGTTCACTATCCCTTCACGTGACCCAGGTATAATAGATCTACCAACTACACAGTTCACTATCACATTACGTGACCCAGGTATAGTAGATCTACGAACTACACAGTTCACTATCTCTTTAAATGACCCAAGTATAGTAGATCTACCCACTACACAGTTCGCTATCCCTTTGCGTGACCCAGGTATAGTAGATCTACCAACTACACAGTTCACTATCCCATTTAAGTGATCCAGGTATCGTTGATCTACCAACTACACAGTTCACTATCTCGTGAAGTGATCCAGGTATAGTAGATCTACCAACTACACAGTTCACTATCCATTCACGTGACCCAGGTATAGTAGATCTATCAACTACACAGTTAACTATCCCTTTGCGTGACCCAGGTATAGTAGATCTACCAACTACACAGTTCACTATCATTTAAGTGATCCAGGTATCGTTGATCTACCAACTACACATTTCACTATCACATTAAGTGATCCAGGAATAGTAGATCTACCAACTACACATTTCACTATCACATTAAGTGATCCAGGTATAGTGGATATATCAACTACAAAGTTCACTATCCCTTTACGTGACCCAGGTATAGTAGATTTACCGACTACACAGTA